CAGGGATAATTCCGAGGAGTTCTATGTTGAAAATACCTGTGGCTAAACAATGATGATTTACTAGAAAAGATCTTGTTGCATACAGTACATACGATATTATCCTCAAGCATGCCGTCGATATTTCCCTTACTCAGAAATTCACCTACAAAATGAAAAAAAAACAAAAACAACTGGAGAAATGATGTAATAATAATGTATTATAATTTAACCAATACAAACCATGCTTAGTGAAAAGTTAACTGCTAGATACTCTTACCCTATTAATTAATGCTATATTATCCTAGTAAACACTAGATCATATTTTACTAACCAATTATAAGACTTCACTTCTAACCTGTTCTGAAATTTTAAAAAGTTGAATCCAGAAGATAGGCATTTATCAGGTCATATGACAATTTAAAAACATAATATTAATAAAATTCTCAGTAACTAATCAGAGCTATACAATTACCTTAACTATAAAACTGTAGTGCATGAGACAGAACACAATTAAATACTGTTCTGTAACTAATCACCTTCCATTAGTGAACAGATGTAACAGGCAATGAAACATTCACAGACAAGTAATAACCAGCCAATCAAATCCACGTGACAAGCAACCATTATATATATATATATAAATACACAAGTAATGGAGACCAATAAGCCAGTAAATAATAATTAGCAAATCAAATACCCACAACCTGGTAAGAAACAAACCGGCCAATGAAATCCCCATAAACAAGTAATAATAAGCCAATGAAATCCCCATAAACCAAGTGATAACCAGCCAAACAAATCCCAATAAACCAGTAAATAATAATTAGCAAATCAAATACCCACAACCTAGTAAGAAACAAACCAGCCAATGAAATCCCCATAAACAAGTAATAATAAGCCAATCAAATCCCCATAAACCAAGTGATAACCAGCCAAACAAATCCCAATAAACCAGTAAATAATAATCACCAATCAAACTTCAACCAGTAAGTTATAACCAACTACTCAAATCCCCATGAACCAAGTATGTGGTAACCAGCCAATGAAATATTCATAAACCAGCTAAAGTCCCATAAACCAGTAAGTAATAAGCAGCCAATGAAATTCCATAAACTAGTGAGTACGTAATCAAATCCAACACCACAAATACGTAAATATGAGTTATCAGTATCTGAATAGACAACATTCAGTAACAAAAAAAAAAAAAAGGAAGTGATAACTAATGGTTCAGTCTACAATGACCATAAGAACTCGCAACAAAGACACCATGTTACATTAATTGTATGGTAATATAAACATTTTCATCTCATGTATGCAGGATTTAAACTTGGGAATGCCACACTACAAGTAAGAGCTCTAACAACTGATCTAAGGGGTCAACCCACCAGTTTCTAGTAATGTACTTTTTAACAACACACACACACTACAACATATACACCAGCAATATTGTTGTTAATTTCACTAATCACTACTGGATTTCTCTATGCATTACACATAGAAAATGAGTTAACCCAATTATTTTTGTCAATTCTTTACACTGTGTAAGAGGTACAAACATCAAATTATTAAATGTAATGGGAAATGTGAATCCCACAATTATTAAAAGGTATATAAACAAGTTTGTTATTTAAGGGTTAAGGGAAAATTGTCACAATGGGATTAAGTAATTCAAAGAGATCATCTCCTTACTTATCCAAGTTTCACAACAAGAGGATAAACATCATAAAGCAGCCTGAGAATGACCTTATATTAACTCTTATTAATCAACAGGTATAAAAACAAACAAATGAACTCGTGTCCATCTCTAGGCCAAAATGTAACTAAGTTTTCATTTTGTAACATTCAAGTTTATCTGCATTACAGCTTTTAACTATGAGGTCTACATTATGTGCCATAATTTGATGGCAAACTCACAGGAATACTCAAGTGAATGAACATCACACCCAAAAGTTAACCATTAAACTAGTATAGGTAATTAAACACACACATAATAACCATCAAAAACATTATATGTTTTACCAAAAATAATTTAAAAAAAAAAGAACAGGTCAATATATATATATATATGCACTGATTATTCATGATGTTAGAAAAACACGTAGGTTCAAGAAGTCTATATAGCAATGAATAAAACCCTATAACCCGAGCATTTTGGGTTATATGGGTTTTATTCATTTCTATGCATTAATCATAAGATTATTAGCATATAAATTCATATTAACTTTCAACTGATTATGCCTGAACTGCATTATAAACTAAAACTGAATTGACTAAAATAATTAATCGACTATTTGCTAATTAAGTCTTTAATGACTAAAAGAATTAATCAACTATCAATTAATTAAGCCTGAACTGACTACCGCAACTGCAATATCAATTAAGCCTAAAAAGAATTGACTATCTATTAATTAAGTCTGAAACGACCACAAGAATTAATCACACTATCAATTAATTAAAACTCAACTGACTACAAAATTTGTACAATCAACTAATTAAACATGAACTGAATAATCACTAAAAGTATAATCCCACAAGACAAGAATTAACCAGAATTAAGATATAACAGCCATAAAATCATAAAATATATTACACTAATTTCAAAACTACACAGTAGAATCTGAAAATGGCAAAATCACTTAGAAAACAAGAACTATGCCATCAATGTTTTTTCACCATACAACTTTGTCAGGACCTAATATTTTATCATGCTGTAACTGTATTTCTTTGTTGTTTATCAATACAATTAAACCTCTACCAGTAACTTAGCCCATTTAATCAGTAAATCTTCAGTGATTAGTAACTAACACACACACACACACAAAATCTTTAGTTTGGTAAAATCCAATTTATGGAACTTGTGTATATTTTTTGCCATATATAAATGATGATGTGTCATATTAAAAAATGTTGTATACTTTGAAGGTAAAGTGCAAGGTAGTGTTTAAAATAAACACACACAGAGACGTTTCTGAATTCTTCAAGTTAGTAGCCCTGTATCTTCAGACAAAAACTCACCCATATACAAGATTAAATAACCCAGCAGTTTTAATGAGTCAAAATATAGCACACACTAGTTGGCATCAATTTACAGGACAGCTTTACTATGAAAACAACAGTTAAAAACTGTCACTTACAATCTTACTAAGAACAACCTTAACAAAACTAGGGCTATACACATTAGCTACGAATGTGGTTTACACAACCATCAGAGAGGAAGACTCAGATACAGTGTTCCTAAACAAGTTACAGCTATTAGTTATACTTATCCATTGAACAAGGTTAGTAGTAGTTATCTTCTGAACAACATTTTTAATACTTAACACTTGAATAATGTCAGTGGCTTATTATCAACTACACTTCCATTTCAAAACACAGAAATGTTTTTAATACTAATGTTAAACACGAGCACAGACTACAAAATACATTATACACGTTAACAATAAAAAATCAGGTTCATAAAGACAACTTAAAAAAAGTATATAAATACTTATCTCAGCATATCATTTGAGAATTCCTACAAATAAGCATCTTTTAGTAATCAAAAATGACAACTGTGAAACATGAAAATTAAAGAGTTCACAACAGCTATACTATACACTAAACAACAACAATACGAGAAACTCCTGCCACTTATATGTACATACATTTTCATTAACAAAAAACAATTTTAGCTGTCAAGCCATTGGCAAGAAAAACAAATTGAATAAAAGATAGAAGTGATGAATCTATTTTCACAAACTGGCCAACTTAGCAGATATAACTTCTTCCTTCTAGAATGTACTCAAGTCTTCCCAGTTAACAAAATAAATAACACATTATACAAATGTCTTACTAATAAATTAATTCTTTACAGTAACTTCAGGCAGAAAAAATGATACCAATTCCTTGCTCAATGATACAGACTTTTGTCACAAAAAAAAAGAAAGTTTGCATTACTAAAACACAGCTTGAATCTTCCACACAAAACCAAATGTTTAGCTTTTAGCACTGCCTGTGGCACAATCTTTTGTACCAGCTCCTGTTTGGACATGGGCCTTCAGCTGGTGGTGTATAGTTTGTAGGTGAGTCTTCAGATTTCCAGGCCAGTTGAAGAGCTTGTGACAGATTTCGCACTCAAATCGTTGACTAAAGGGCATGTGCATCAATAAATGCCTCTTCATGCTGTGCTTTGTGGAGTACATTTTAAAACAGATTGGGCATACGCTATCAGCGTTTGACGAGACTCCTACAATATGCTGCTGCAGCTGTTTCAGACATGACGAATATCTTTTCACAAACTCTTCTACATTAGTGATCCCACTCATCTTGCCATCTGTAAAAGAAACATCTCTTTCTCATTTAGGGTGAATCTTGAGAATTACAAGTAAATCACTGGACATATATTTAAATGCCCACTGCTTAGTCTTTATTCCTAGTTATGTTTATTTTTCACAGCTAATGTACCATTAAAGTTGATAAACATATATATATTTGTTATAGGCACACAAATCACCTATAACTAAAAAAATTGTCAGTGTTAGTGCATCCACTTTTAACTAATAGCAATGGTGACAATATTAAGCACCATATCGGTGAAAAGAAAACGTTATCCTGTACTGCTAACTGTGTGAAATCTCAAATATAAACAAAGACAAACAGCATTCTAGACTATCTACCATAGAACTTCAATAAAATGCAGTTCTGTTGTCGATGTTCATAAACCACTAATATATAGTCAGAATCTTAAACTTAAATGTTATTATAGATGGTTTCACTAACCGTTCCTATTTCAGACATGTTTCACAGATTCTGAAAACATATTTACCACCAGCAACAATGTGATATGTGAATACCCACAAATACATTCAACAATAAATACAATAAAGTTATTTATTACACACTAGTAACAGGCACATCTCAGTAAAACACAAACAGAAGAAATTTGTTCACTAGGATTTCTGATGTGCTGGTCAGTTTCTTTTAACCATAACAATGTCAATACCATACACGTGCTACAGTTTTTTAAAAAATCACATAAATTATAGTGGATTTCTATAACTTTAATTTCATTCTGAAACTATACAAACACATTTTTCAAGTCTACTGTGCATCATCAATAACCTGTAGAAAAAGCCATATCGAAAGAAAAAAACTGACACTAAAAAAGTTATACAAATGACACTACTATCACATGAATACTAAAATCACCACATAATATTCATGAAAACACCTAGATGAATTCACTTACATAAGTTGACTTAGAAATGAAGAAAACTAATAACTGTTTCTCATTTTAAACTAAATTAAACAAACTGTATTTTATATTCTCCACTCTTAAACTATTTCCAATTTTTGTGGATCAGTTCTTGATGTGATCTAAGACAGCGTTTAAATAAAATCATATAATTCAGATGGCCAGTCTCTGAGTAGTAAAGTTACACCAACTTGGCTTCAAACGTCTCTCAAAGATGGGTCACATTAAATAATTTAAATTATAAGTTACATTCATTGTTCAATTGCTGATAACAAATATACAACCACAATAACTTAAGTTGCTGAAAAATATTTGGATATTTTGTAGACACAACTTCTAGTTTAGAAAATGTTGTTCTATAATTATCAAACCATTCAGCTGAATCAATATAAACACAAAAATAATATGAAGTTGGCACAAAGAAACCTATTAACATTTCTTACTACCCTAAGACATAAACACAATTACAACAAAAAATATACATAGTACAAAAATTCATAAAATATCAACATCTCAATGGACCTGTAAGATTGTATGTACATTGTATATGCTAAAAACAAAAAGACATTAAAAATAAACCATAGAATCATAAAAATCACAAGTTAAGCTTACAATGAATTAAAAAACCAAATCATATGACATTATGAAAACTTAACCTGTATCTCTAAACTGTAACATATGGCTAGATGTCAAAAAAATTGTTTAGTAAACATACATCAAGAAACATTAATCAGATGTTTCTACAGACTTGTAAAGAGTCCCACAGTGATTTACAAGGCTACGTTTGATTTAGTAATGAAATATTTCTAGGGTGACAAATTTAGCTGTCAGAATTATAAATCTTTATCAATCAAGTTAAAAACTGTATTTCATTGATTTTTCCATTTCTGAAATTTAATAAAATTCTAACATTTCATGATAATTTAGCTGATCTAAATATTCCATAACTGTAACTTTTAAAACAATTGAATAATAAGATTTCTAGCTACCAACTCAGTCAATTTTTCCATTAACAGATATTTTTTTTATACATTAAATTTAACACCTGCTTTGTTTAGGAATTTCTTTATCTGAGTTTTCTTATTTTTATATTTGAACATACTCAACCCTTATGAATCTCTAATACGATATCTGCCTCTCAGTTCTTATGGTTTCATTATTTATATTCCACTTTATATATATATATATATTCACAAGCAGACTGTCATAAAAGAAATAGTTCATGCCGTTTCTTTCCTAACAACTCAACTTCACATTTCATTGAATACTTCATAACATTTCTTGTTTATTTTAGATATTTGCACAAAACTACACATGGGCTACATGCTCTAGCCATCCCTAATTTTTAACTAATAGACTACAGTTAGTCAACAGCACCCACTACCATCTTGTAAGCTACTCCAATTAAATTGTGTAACTGAACCACCACTCTGTTTATGCACCTACAGTCCCAAAATGCAATGTAATTTTGCAATAATGTGCCAAAAAAAACGTGAGTCATTGGATTAAAAATCCAGTCATACTAACCTATGTAATTTTTTTTAAGAGTAAGAAAGACATATGCCAAATTTAGGATCCGAGTTTTAAAATTTGTTGCAAACACTAAAATAGACTTAACCAAATTAGTTTAATTTTCATAAAAGCGACCTCAGAAAAATAAAAAAATTAATTTCTTGAAAACAAACCTCACCAGAAATTTTTCTAAATAAAAAATTGCATCCAAAATAGAATTCTATCACCAACAACAACAAAAAAGGAACAAATGGACACTAAGCATTAAATTAATTGAAACACTGTACACAAAGTTTCACCTCATTTAAGAATCCTGTCATAAAGACCAATAATAGAAAATTTCATTATATTAATGTAGGTGTACACACAGATAGCCAATCTCATTTGTAACTATTGCAAGAATAAACACCAATGGTTAACTTTGTCATCATTTACCTCTGGTCAATTATCAAACTAAACGAAAATAGTACATTCTGTAAATAAGGTAAATCTTGCTATTGTATATTGGTTAATACATACTCTATAAACCTAGTTTAATTGTTGCCTAAACACTAAGTATATATTAATGTGAGGATAAGTACAAGTGAAAGTTTACACTAAGTAGATGTTAATGTGAGGATAAGCACAAGTGAAAGTGTACACTAAGTAGATGTTAATGTGAGGATAAGCACAAGTGAAAGTGTACACAAGTAGATGTTAATGTGAGGATAAGCACGAGTGAAAGTGTACACTAAGTAGGTGTTAAATGTGAGGATAAGCACAAGTGAAAGTGTACACTAAGTAGATGTTAATGTGAGGATAAGCACAAGTGAAAGTGTATAATGATCATTTTGCCTGAAACAAATCTATTGGTCAGGGCTTTTGGGGCTTAGCCCTCAATAGCTCTGGGGTTGTACGTCTTCTCAGATGCATTCTGATCCATTTTGTACAACTTTCAGAATACAATTTTAACTTGACTTTGTAGGAGAAAAAAAAAGAAACTCAGAAATCACAACTTTTCATGTTACCAGATGGACCAACCTAATAATCACATGAAGCTAATTAAATCTTTTAAACCTTTTACACATAAGCCCAATTAATTTTTTAAAGCCTCAGTTGCACATGAAAAATGTATCACTGAATTAACCAGTTATGACCCCTTTCTTGTATAAATGAAAATAGCTGGAAGTTTAGACCACTAAAAATTAGGATAGTCTTGGCAGTAAAATGTAAAACGTGTTTATTTCACGTTAAATTTAAATCATGCATTGTAAGCATGCCTGAGGAAGGGGATGTGATGGATTTCCATCTACAAACGGAGAATCTTCACCCATGGAAAAGCATATAATGGACCCCACATGATTACTGCTACGATAGATTAACAAAAACCACTTTTTGTTACGGTTAACAAGTGGTTAACCAGTCTGGTTCTACTCTGATAATCTCAACTCCCATCAGAATAATTCGGTCGTTATCCAAATTACATTAATCAGCATTATTCTAGTTACTTAAACACCACCAGAATATATATATTCTAATCTCTAAAAAAATATCCTATCATCTTCTCCATGTTTACATGTCCTTGTGCCCAGTACAAGTTTTTGATTTGTTCTTGTACTCCACTAATGTCCTATCATCTTCTCCATGTTTACATGTCCTTGTGCCCAGTACAAGTTTTTGATTTGTTCTTGTACTCCACTAATGTCCTATCATCTTCTCCATGTTTACATGTCCTTGTGCCCAGTACAGTTTTTGATTTGTTCTTGTACTCCACTAATGTCCTATCATCTTCTCCATGTTTACATGTCCTTGTGTCCAGTACAGTTTTTGATTTGTTCTTGTACTCCACTAATTTTCCTTCATAACCCTGTACAGCTTGACAATCTGACCTGGTACACTCTAAAGCCCTCAGTAACATGTGCTTATACTCTATAGTACTGGACATAACCTTGCATTCTGTAAATTCTCCAATGACTTACCATTGTTCTCTGAATGATAACCTGAATTAATTGCCTTTATACTAACCTAAATGACTTTACTTTGTATTCTGTGATGACTTGCCCTTGTATAACGAACTGAATCACTTATGCTTGTACTATATAGGCTCAAATGCCTTGTGCTTATATTTATGAAGACCCTGAATGACTTGTGCTTATACTGTGTAGGCCCTGGGTGACTTTGTGCTTATAGTGTGTAGGCCCTGGATGACTTGTGCTTATACTGTGTATGCCCTGGGTAACTTTGTGCTCATACTGTGTAGACCCTGAATGACTTGTGCAAATGCCATGTACATCCTGAATGACTTGTGCAAATACCATGTACGTCCTGAATGACTTGTGCAAATACCATGTACATCCTGAATGACTTGTGCTTATACTGTGTAGGTTCTGATTAACTTGAGCAGTACTGTGTAGGTTCTGATTAACTTGAGCAGTACTCTGTAGGCGGTACAATGTGGGAAGTTAACCTTATAATTTATTGTTGAACTTTGACTTGGAAGACTACCAATAATAATAGTAAAAGATGTTTTTTTAATTACATAGCTACAGAGAAATGTAAACGAAAAAAATATGCTGAATTATGCCCACTTTGCTTTAAAGATTATCTCAGTTGAAAATAATTTCTTTTCTCAGAAACAAACATTTCAGATCATATTCGAGAAATATTTTTGTTAGAGCATAACAACTACATATTTGCTTGTGTATTTCATCTATTTGTTTGAAGTTAAGCACAAAGCTACACAAAGGGCTATCTGTGCTCTGCCCACCACGGGTATCGAAACCCGGTTTCTAGAATTGCAAGTCCGCAGACATACCGCTGTGCCACTGGGGGCATATTTCATCTGAATCCTGAAACTGAAATTTACGTTTCCTTTGTTTTCTTAATTGCAGCAAATTGTGTTCAAGAGAAACACAGAGTATAAAGATACTCCAAAAGCCCTTGCAGACAGATACAAGTTAATGGAAAATCTCTCTGGGACACTTTATGAATTAATAAACAGAAACAACCAAATTAGATCTCTCTCTCTCTCTCTTTTATTTGAATAACAGAGTGAGCTGGCACAAATTAGGACAGACCAACACTACACCTATTTGAATAAATAATTTAAAAAAGTAAATATATATATTTCTGCCCCGTAAGTTGCACTCGCACTAAGACTACCCACAGAATAGATCTAACTGTTGAACAAGATATCTTTATGGGACAAAATTTCATCTTACAATGAATTACAACCAACACCTTTTCACATACAATGGAACACTTCTAAGTAACAGGGTACCTGCTACACCAAAAGCTTATTCTAATAACAAGCTACAAACTTTTACACATACAGTTAAATCAAAAAATATATATAATGAATTCTATATAACTTCCGTACTGATGATTCATTAGTGGAGAATGTTCTTTATCCCACAAAGAGGTTAAGTGATGGTACAGCAAATTCTAACAACCCGTGCAAATACTCCTGAAACAAATGTAAGTCTAGTCAGAGCTAAGCTACAGGAATTATATTCCTCACAGTGATTGGACACACTATATAAAGATCAATGTAAAAATTTCCACGAGTTATCTTACCACATAATGTTTTTCATAATGGGGCACTACATGGCTCCATTTCTTACGTCAAGACAATGAACAAAGAATCAGTACAATAATAAAAACTGGTTACTTATGCTAGTCTTTTTAAACCCACACACACACTTCAATCAGAAGAAGGAGTTCTATGTTTGATCCTTATGTGCTGGTAGATGCTGTTTTTCCACTTGAACGTCTGAGGACACAATGGACAGCGATGGGTCAAATCATTGTGCATCTCCATGTGTTGCTTTAATCCTGCAGCAAATGAAAATGTCCTTGTGCATGCCTCACATTTCCAAATCTTTGAAGATTTTGACTGTGGTGAAAAATCTGAAAACCAAATATTGTAGGCATTGTTTACAATGAAACAAACAACTCAGAAACTGGTAACTTCAACATAAATGAAGGAATATTCACAAGCTAACTTTAAAACTTGTGATGTCTGGTAACAGCTATCATATACACATTACTAATCATTTTTATTGTCTTATAAATAGAATCTGCTCTTTAAAAGTTATTGTATGTTGATAGAAGGATTCTTGTGGTGTCAGAAATAAAATGTTAACTATATTCTTTTGCTTTAGTCTGTAGCAAAATTGTTAAATCTACTCGTGACTTTTGGAAAATTCTTCAGGATAAATGTTAACCACCCACTGAATACTCTTAATGGCGTTGTTTACTCAAACCATGCGACAACTGTTACTGGTTAACAACAAGCAATGACATGTTGACATTCATCCACTGCAAGATGAGGAGGAATACATTAAAATATGGATAATATTCAAAACTAATGAAGTCTATAACTTCAACTGTGGCTGTTATAACTAAAACTCAATTAAATGTATCTCACTAGATGATGTTTCTGGCTTTGAAAAAAACAAGGTTAAAAGATAACTCATTTGTCTAAGCATGAAAATCTATAATTTTTGTAATACATACCAGTAGAATTTTTACAACCAGCTTTATAGAGTGTCAGATTTATATACTATAGCATGTTAATGTACCTGACAAACATAAACAACAATTATTGATAAGGCACTAACACACATTACTCCATTTCATAAGCACATAAAAAGCAATTACTAGTAACATAACTGATACACATCAACACTATTACAACAGTTATTAATATGGCACTAAAACACATTACTTCATTTCATAAGCACATAAAAAGCAATTACTAGTAACACAACTGATAAACATCAACACTATAACAACAGTTATTAATATGGCACTAAAACACTTTATTTCAATTCATAAGCACGTAAATAAAGTATCTATTGGTAACACATCTGTCTACTTTGTTAATATAAAGCTATTTGTGGTAACACAAGTGACAAATATATCTCCATCTTATTAATTAACAATTAGTGGTGACACAACTGATAAACATCCCTGCATCTTGTTAATATATAACAATTAGTGGTGACACAACTGACAAACATCCCTGCATCTTGTTAATATACAAAAATTATGGTGACACAACTGATGTAAACATCCTTCCATTTTGTTAATATATAACAATTAGTGGTGACACAACTGACAAACATCCCTGCATCTTGTTAATATATAACAATTAGTGGTGACACAACTGACAAACATCCCTGCATCTTGTTAATATATAACAATTAGTG